AGAGGTGGACCTCGACCGCCACAACGGCACCGAGGCTCGACACTCGCCCCCAATGTCTCGAGCGGGAGCAGTGAGACCGACCCCAGCACACTTTGGAAAGTTGGCAGCACTGGCAAGATCTGGCGATGTCCTTGTTTTGCACGACGAGGTCTGTTTGTGAGGTTTTGTGTAACCTCGAATGCCTTTACTATCGTACATTTACGCCACATGTTGAGTAGTGGCGCAGGAATTCTGTCCGAATTTGCCGGACTTTGGAGAAAAATTAACGTTTGCACTCAGCCCTCTCCTTACAAAAAATTGGCTATGTGCCCGCTCGGACCTGACGCCATGATATTCTGCGATGTGATGTGATTCATGCCCACTGGTATGAGTTTCAGAAGCGCCTGGCTGAACGCACTGATGTTTTTCCACTATTTCCTTGACAACAGCATCCATCTCTACCATGGCTTTGTGCATGATACTTCTGGAAGCTTAGCAGTGGACAGGGCTAGCTGAATTTTAGAAAGAAGGAGGTTGAATGGACATGAGCGCCGTCATGCAGCTTCCATGTGCAGCAGGCATATTCATTGTTCTCAATGGCGTTGTTGCAGCGGGATCAAGGTAGCAGCAGTCATAGCGGTGCGCTCGTATTTCTAGGGCCCCTGGTACGCACAGCCAGTGGTAATGCAGTTCAAATTGCATGCTGCATTGGTAAAGATAAGTTGCGATGGATCTTTTGGCAAATTTGTCATGGCCTTGCTGGACACTCGCGAAATATTGCATTAACAACTAGTTGGATGCCGTCTACAGGCTGATATACCTTGCAGTTTTTGGTCATAATGTCCGACAGCATCTTCTCATTCTATGTCTGTTCTTAGGAAATAAAAAACCGAAAAACGAGCGCGAAGCCACTTTTGAAACGCAGGTCAGACAAGACAGGCCAGACAAACAGGTCGAAAATGGAAGTTCAGAAAGACAGGACAAGTCAGACAGACAGGACAGGTGAGACAGAAAAGACAGGTCGGGCAGATAGGTCAGACAGCACAGGTCAGACGGATAGGTTAGACAGAGAGGTCGGATGGGACCGGTCAGACAGACAGACAGGTCCACAAACGCTCTTGCGTGACGTGACGTCATATCATATCTGCTCAATCTTGCTTTGACGTGTCCACGCCTCTCAGCTTCAGTCTGATTGGCGTATGTATGTGCCGAATTTTGTGTAAGGTAGCTACCAAAGGGTTACTCTTCATCTTGTCAAAGTTTAACCGTATACCATTCTGATAAGCCGAAGTTTATGAACAGCTGCGACCGTAAGCCGGATAAGACAGACCGCTTTAAAAAGCGGCGAATTCATCTGGCTGGGCAATGCAGCTGCAGTACCTACAGCTCCAAACATGACGAACGTGCCAACTCGAAGGTGGCATCCAATGGCAGTGGTATGGCAAAGTTGGAATCGATTAGGATCTGTCCTATGACCCTGGGGTCTGTTGGATTTGACACCAATTGTCTGCGGAGACGACGAATTATCTGTGGCGTTTTGAGACAAACGCTACCTGTCTCCCGGTTCTTTTCAAGCAATGACGTAGTGCTCACCCCAGATGATGTGAGTCCAGGCAGCAGCTGACCACTCTTAACGCAATCTCTCAACACTTATGGTGCGGTTTTTCCGTCGGGGGAGGGGGATGGTGGAGAATATGGAAGCAGCTCTCCATTTGCCCCTCTCCCTTGTTTCGCTTTCACTGCCCGTGCCTGATCTCTTTAGCTATCGTTTGATGCCCTGTCGAGCGGTCCTTTTTTACAGCGTAGCTCATCACTGGCCGCGTAGCTCAGCTGGGCCGCGCCGCACCGCGCCGTGCCTCGGCGCTTCTCCCTGCACCCAGCCTCTCTACTGGAGCTCTGTACAGCCATCTGAAAGATGAGCGCATGAACGTCTGTCGGCGTTGATGACGTACTCCTCTCTGCAGTGTAAAAAGTTCCCCCTGTGTTGCTCGGTCCCATTTCCCCTAGCCGGCGAGATGGCCTAGAACTCGCTCATGGGTCGTGCTCCTCATCTTCATCAACGATCTGCGGCTGGTTTCCTCCTCCACTTCGTTCCGCCTACTATCCTTCGCCGATGACCCCCAACTCCTTGTCTCCGCCATTCCGGTCATGTTGGCCTCGCCAACCTGAAGGTGTCTTGTCGAAAAATCCATTCATTCTTTTCAAAACTGGTTCCAGTCAAACAACCTTCAAATGAACCACATAAAGATGACTGGCCGGCAATGGTCAGATACTGATCGCCACCAAACCATCCGTAGCAAAATCTATTTTTTGTCCTGTGTGTGCTCTAAAAAATGTGTTTTGAGTTTCTTCCTTTACGTCTAGGTGTAAAGCAGCAACTTCGTGAATGCGCCTTCAGTAACATGAATGTGACTGTAACGTTTGGTCACGCACACATGGATGCATGCCAAAAATTTGGTAATGAGGGGGGGGGGGGGCACGCACCACGGGGTTTCTACACGCCGACAGCTGTATATATGACAAAGAGGGCAGCCATAGCCTTAAATTTTCACAGCACCCATGTGCGAGCGCCAGGGGTACTCCTGCGTGCTGGCCTCTCGGCGCGGGGAAATGATGAGTGGCTTGCGCAGGCGGGAAGGTCTGTTTTCAAAGGCAAAGGGTTACCATAATCTCGCACGTGGTGAAACAAGATGAGCGATATTCAAGCCGTGGAATGAAACGCTCACTTGATTGCACTCTTTGGTACATGATGGTTTTTATATCACATGACGGTGACGCAATAGCGCAGTTAGTGTCCCTGTGCACTTCTGCTTGTTGGCACGCATATGATGTTCCTAAAACAGGACTTCATTACAGATTGATCTCGGATTCCTCACCTCCTTATTTGAGGTGATAACTCGATCAGCAACGAGATCCTAGATAGAAAAGGCCTGTGATACGGCCACCCGTTCCAGTTATTACCTCCGCCTTCGATGGGCTCTCCATCTCGTTAAGAAACCACTCTCGCACTTGTTCAACGATTCAATCCATGGCCTGCAAGTATTTCTAGATTACTGGGTCAGCTGTCACAAATGCCTGACAATCATCCGCCAACTACATAAGCAGTGCGCCACCGACATGACGGTTGCGTTCGTTTTGGAAGCTGCTAAACAAAATACAACCGATGCCCTACCACTGATGCGTACCGCAGGCACTGCGACAAACGGAGCTTTACATGTTTTGGCCGTTTACATCCTGGCAATGACCCTGAATGTAGATAATTGGTTGGTTGCGGGTGTAATACGCCGTTGAATCCCACTGCTTCCAGCAGAAAAACAGACAAGCGCTATGTGACATGTTAACATTTCCTTCCCAGTTCAATAATTTCAACGATACGCCCTGACTGGAAATTCTGTGGGCGTGCAATACCAAACGCGTTGTTACCTGATACCTTCACTTCTACCTTTGGCAATACGAGAATGAGCACAACTGATGTGGAGTTTGCTCATGTGGCCGGATCTAAACGTTCCCTCGCATTTGATATTTTTCAGACCTATGGCACTGCCGCAGCAGCAAAACGGCTGTTCACAATGTGCAGTGATATCGGTATAAGAACTGGCCGGGGGATTTCGACATCATGAAGCCTTATGCCCTTGGCACCACAGAAAACACAATAGCTCATTGATACTATAAGCAGGAGTGTTACATTCTAAACTTGGTTATAGGGCGGCTCACCTGACGAGGTTGAATTCTTCTACCTCAGAACCTGATTTCTCCACGGATGTTGGCAACTTGTGTTTTCGCCCTAGATGTTGAAATTCCAATCCAAACTCTTCGTCTTCCGTCACTTCAGGTTTTTTTTTTCTCCGGAGGAGTGGCTTCCCATTTCAAGTTTACGTGGGCTATCTTTTTGTGAAAGACTTTTAATCAGGTATAATCTACAGAGAAATATCTTAAAACTTTGAGTAAGGGATCCCTGATGACTAACCCTGCCACTGGTCGTGATGCACAAACACCACAGTCATGATTATGCGACAACCATTTTTGCCATTGCTGGTGAAAAATGTGTTAAGATGTATCTGGGTCATCGTGTTCTTTAAAAGCTGCCAAAGGCTGCTTCTGAAAGAGAGTCGGGATGCTTCGCCGGGATTGGCTGCCGTCCGCTTTGTCGGGGCTGGCTGACGTCCGCTCTGTCGTGACTGGCTGACGTCTGCTCTGTCGTGACTGGCTGACGTCTGCTCTGTCGTGACTGGCTGACGTCCGCTCTGTCGGGGCTGCAGACAACACGCTGGCTGGTGCATGACATCGTACATCCAGCACACTGACTTGCGGCTTTGACGGCGTGGCCGGATGTAAGAGATGCGATCATCTGACGTCATGTGAGCTCCGCACCGTGCGTTGGGGGTGGGTTGACGATGACGGTGTACTTGTACGGTCCCATTCACCCAACAGTGGCTCCATGAAAGCCTTCCGCGTGCACCGCGCTCCTGATGGACTGCAAAGCACCTTACAGTGTGCGTGATGTTCTTTGGTCATTTTCAGGCCAGTTTTCTTCATCAGACGGCCAGAGGCCTTGTCAGCTGTATGAGACCGGCTCCAAACAGATGTACCGCCAGATGTACCCGTCAGATGGACTCTCGTATGTCGGCGCTGGAACGAACTGGCGGATGGCGACCGTTGGTGGCGCATGCGCGCTCGGGTCGCACATTGTGACTCTTGGAACGCTAGTCATCATCGTTGGCACATTTCGCTTCTGGTAATACTACATAGGGACGGTACGTTGCGTGTTCGTATATTTTACCATTTGCGCATCACATCAGTTTTGGAGTTGGGGTAAAAGTACAATGTCAAGTTATATATATGCGTGTTGCAGAAAATAACAATAGCAACAAACTATATATATATATATATATATATATATATATATATATATGTATGCATATATATATGTATATATATATATATATATATACATGTATGTATATAAACCACACGTGTACAGTTATATATATATATATATATGCATCTAAAAGAAATGCACCGAAAAGGATCATATAGCAACACTTAGCATGGCATGCGATTCTTGCATCACACAGTAATCATTAAGTGAACCATTTTCACAGAATAACAATAACAAGTGACAACAATCCAGCACCTGAGCAACCAAGAAGTGCGTAAAAATATGACAAGGGAAGACAGCTCTACGAGACCTTCTATCGCGAAATGAATAGAGACATGCTTTAACGACACCCTTCTTCTACTTTCGATGACTTCGAGTAGTAAAAAAAGTAGGACTTTTGGTGAGACCCGGCTGAAATGAATATTTGGTCACTGGAATGACCCACGACTGGGCTTGAGAGCCAACCACCTAAACTTATCGTGAGGTGCTTTAGCACCACGCGAAAGTGTGCTCCGACATCCAGCAATGTTGCGGCAGTCGTTTCGTCTCAAGTTATCCATCATCCCTCGCCTGGTGTCTCGTCCAAGCGTACAAACTTTCCGTAGCTGAGAACGTAACCAGGCTCCCTGCAAGTCGCTGTGTGATGTTTTGCGCCGCTTTAATGACAGCCCTTATCATTGCGCGCACATGGAGTCGTAGGCATGTGAGCGGCCGCGTTCGTGTCAGCTCAGCAGCTCTTGTACATGGTCGAGCAGTCAGTAGTCCGGCCCATGGAGGCCATCGTCCAGCACAGGTCGGTGATCCTGGAGCCCTGGAACTTGCTCTTGATCCAGGATAGCGGCAGACTGCAACAGCGAGGGACCCGGTCACAGATGTCGCGCAGTCACCAGATGTCACCAGATGTCACCAGATGTCGCCAGATATCACCAGGTGCGCACATCGCACACCATGCTGGTCTAGACGGCGTCACGATGGAGCACAGGACAGTCAACTCAGGTCACAACTGCGCACCAAAGGTCATAAGAGGGTCAACAGAGGTCAGCACACCGCTGCACATTCTGAGGACAGTGGCAGGCTGGGGACAGAAAGAAGCAGAAAACTGCAAACACGCACGGATCACTGAAAAATGCACCTTGACGATTCTGTTACGTTCTGTAGCCCAAGTGGTTGGCAGCTCCCGCGTTTGAATTCGATTGGTTGACATAATGGATCTTTCGAACGACTATATTATATCTTTTGCTGCTGTGGGAAGGACTGAGTCCACCATGAGGTGTGATCAATTTCAATTAAGGGAACACGTTGGATTAACACGTAGGCGTCGGTGTTCCCTGTATACGCAAGTTCTATTGCACGCAACAGTGTTATGCCCTCCCGTCTACAGTCATTCATTCTTCCGCCCGGAATGTTGAACATACCCATTCATTTGCCAACTGCCCTCCCCCAACATACCTGGCTAGGGGTACGGCCACGCTGTAAGGTGGACCGGAGCGACGTGCAAGCTGGCCGAGCTGGCAGAGCCGGTACTGCTGGCAGGAGGATTCCTCACCGGCCCAGAGCAGGTCAGCCGTGCTCGACAGCAGTGGCAGCAGCACGGACCCAGACCTCAGCATCTCTGTCGGCGGAGCAGCGGCAGTGCCAGGTGGTCGGCGATGAGGGAGATATGCTCATATCCCGAGACGGCGATTGTTGGTAGAACTTTTTCACGAGCCTTTTGATTGGTTTTGGTGAAACGAAACGCATAGCGCCGAGAACTCTTGTATGGGGGTCTGCCCACTACTATGGTAGTTCACTGTATTCAGGTGTATGGTTGTTCAGCTAACAGTTGACGACAAGTGGTAATCTCCCCCCTTTTGTTCAGCTGCCAGCTGGCCAACAACAGGTGACAATCTCCCGCTCTAAAAGTCACTCACCAATGCTGTTGGTTACGTCCGCCGTAAAGTACTGCTCTAGCTCCGGGTCAGAATCTGAGGAGATTAGGACAAAGTCGGTAATAAAACAGAAAAGCGTGCGCGGTCAAAGTCAGCATGAATACTTGATGGCCGCAGGCCATGGTTCGAGCACCTTACGTTACGCTCGTCCCTTAGCAATTTCTACTTTGCGATTTTGTGACTACAGCTGCTAAAATCGACGGTCTACCTGTCAGCGCTCCAGACCTAGCGACAGTTTAACCGAAAGCGCTTCAGACCTTGCGACGGTCCACCCGTCAGCGCCCTAGACGTCACGACAGTCAACCCGTCGGCGCCCCAGACCCAGCGACAGTCCAGGGCGGTAAGGAGAGGCATGCTGAGCTGAGCGGCATGGTGGAGAACCATGCCGCTCAGCTCAGGTTTGCTGGAGGAGTCCCGCTACACCAGACGTCTGGAGGAGGCCTGATGTAACAGGCCCACTGGATGAGACCTGCTGTACTAGGCCTGCTGGAGAAGACCTGCTCCACCAGGACCGCTCACTAGGCCCGCTCACCGGGCCTCACTGCTTAGGGCCCGCTCCCGCCCTGCTCACCGTCCAAAGAGCGCCCTGCCGGAGCCACGGTGGTGGTGGTGGTTGCTTCGGTGGTGGTGGCGACGGTGGTGGTTTCGGTGGTGGCTGCGGTGGTGGTGGCTGCTGTTGTCGAGGCGGCGGCCAGCGCTGCGGCGGACTGCGACAGAGCAAACGCCAGCAGGCCACCGAGGGCGGCGAACCCGGCCAACGCGCCCACCGTACCTGGCGAAAACACCAGAAGTCACTGTGACACCAGGATGTGTGTTACTGAGAGGAGCCACGCCCGGCACTGGCAGAGGTCACATAATCACTGGTGACACGGTCTGTGGTCATGAACCACTTCCAGGCCCGGCGTAGGTCAGGGATGATTGGGTTGATCAAGGGGGCTAATCACATCCTGCATGATTGATGGCGTTAAGGCTGATAACATCTTAGGTCGCGAGCAATGCCAATACTGACGGAGGTTATGGCGTATGGCCAACCATGTGTTATGAGCTCATGGCCGACACAAACTGAGGAGGAGGGTAACAGGGAGGCAGGCAAACGCCATGGGTCACAGAAACCAATACCGGCAGAGGTCACCAGGTCCTGACCTACCCTCTATGCAGCCGCACGGCTTTTCGAAGGAACGGGACCCGATGGCGTTCGACTCGCTCTCGTACTGCTGCTGTAAAGCAGTACAGACCTGGGCCACTGAGCTCACGTCCAGCATCCTGTCGAACGGGTTGTTGTCTGCAAACACGGGCATATCCGTCACATGTGTGGTCATCTAGGTTGCCTAACTTTCGGAGGGTGGTTGTGTTCGGTCACGGTCCGAAGGCGCCACGTCGCCGCTTTTACGACTGAGGTGGCGGGTCACCGTCTGCTGCGTAGACATGATGGCCAGTCTATAGATGCGTAAAACCATTTGCACCTGGTATATCGAAAGTGCTAGTACGGTGTTTTAAACACCAGAACAATGTGAGATGTTCCTCTAGGTTACCACCTCGTTATACCTTGTGACAGAGTAACGGTTACATTCAAGCTTGATCTTATCCTATGCGTTGACAATCGCAAAAACGGTATGACTGAAGATCATGATGACAACAAAAAACCAATGCAGCAACGATTGTACCATAAGCGTATACAGCCTATGTACCGTTTTTTAATGTATGCTACCGACATTTCGTAAACATGGCACCCATGCCTGCACCCATGCCATCAGTATTGCAAAGACCTACGCCCTGTGGAACGCGTCAATCATTACCTAAGTGTGCCTTTTGATTATCCCCACCACCCAAGTCCTCAATATTCAGCGTCAATCATTCACTCCTTGTTCTCCACTCTCTGCACTCCATAAGTATCATTAAATGACCATCCGCCACCATGTATTTGCCTCTCTCTCTCCCTCCCTCTCCCCCCCCCCCCCCCCCCCCTCTCTCTCTCTCTCTCTCTCTCTCTCTCTCTCTCTCTCTGTTCTCTCTCCTGTCCACCTATCCCCGCGGCACATACCCTGCAGTAACCGTCCAGAGGTACTCGCCGCGGCAGCCTGATATATCATGTAGCTGACGAGGGCGATGAGAGCGGCTCCAACCGCCGCCAGCGCCACCAAGTTCAGGTGCGAACAGTCTATGTCGCACACCTCGTGCCCGTACCCTGTGCCTGCGGGAACAATGATGTCATGGTTAAAAATATAGCGCCAGAGCAGGACATGACAATTTGTGACCTTTCACACACCAGCTATGATTCCTCCCGGTGTGTGGGGGATGTCAAGGTATGAAGAGATCACAGCTCTTCTAAGAATCCGTGGAATTAATTCTTTTTGCCATGGCGACCCTCGCTTTGGCATCTTTTCACATACCAAGGTGTACTGTCACTGTCAACCAGCGGTTATCATCGGCAGCGCCCACTTCTGCGGAAAGGGGTGAATGTTGTTACCAGTGACGAAATTGCACGCCGTGTCTGTGGACAGAGGCGGATGTTGTTACCAGTGATGTAATTGCATGCCGTGTCTGTGGACAGAGGCGGATGTTGTCACCAGTGACGTAATTGCACGCCGTGTCTGTGGACTGAGGCGGGAGTTGCTACCGGTGACGTAATTGCACGCCGTGTCTGTCTACAGAGGCGGATGTTGCTACAAGTGATACACTCGCACGGCACGTCCGTGGACGGAGGCGGACGTTGTTACCTTTGACGTATTCGCACGCCGCGTTTGTGGACAAAGGCGGAAGCTGTTACCAGTGACGTAGTTAAGCGTCGTGTCTGCGGAGAGTCTATCGTAGCATAGCATTACCTTTTAAATGAAGCGTACTGTCCCTTTGTACCTTTTGCTTATTGCTAGATCAGTCGCGTACGATTTGATCAGCAATGTCAGTTTTCTTGAAATCTTTCTGAATACCTCAGAATGTTTATCTGAAGTAGGCGCTTCTGCGGCAAAAGTCTTCTAGGACTCCTTGCTCACCGCCTTGAGCGCAAGACATTTCATTTGCCCTGCTTTTTTAACGTGTATGTGCTCTGCAATATTAACGACACACTAATTTGTCAAAAGGTGCTTGTAATGAATTATATGAAAGACGCAAACATTCGGTTTAGTCTAAAAGGTATGCGGAATCCAAACCGTTGTCCTGTGCATTAAATGAATCCATATACTGATGAGAGATCACTAACAGCCTTATTTCTGATAGAACAAACAGCATAATTGAATAATAGACGTGGTATTTCGGCTGTATACCTCTATAAAAACAAATATCAGTAGCAATTAAAAATTGCCTCCCAACACTGCTGGATTGTTCAGGGTTTTTCAGAACAGCAAGTTACAGTTTGTACACGTCACCAACATTCAGGGGATCAAACAATGGACAGTTGCTAGCTATTTCTCTGATACGGCGCACATCTAACTAAGAATTAAAATGCGCAAAAAACGTGCACACGCAAACAAATTCAAGTTAACAGGCATGACGTATAACACATTCAAGCACGCAAGCAGTTTCAAGTAAACAATTTCGAGTAAGCGGGCATCACACATCACTTATAAAAGCAAACGATTTCAATTAAACAGGCATCACACATCACGTGTCAGATACCACTCATACATGGAAAGATTATGTTAACAGGTATCACATGTCAAGGCACTCACCACCTTCGCATGATCGCCGATGATCAACACTACGTTAATGTCTGGTCGCTGACTTCCTCTAAAAGAAGGTTCACTTATTTTACTGTGTGAATGGCCTTGAATGAATGGCATATGATGAATGGCCTTGAATGAATGAATGAATGGCCTTGAGTGAAAGGCATATTGCCATCTAAATTGATAGCATCTACAGAGAAGGAAATACTGCCCTCTCTCACAGATGCGTGGTATAAAAGCCTCAAGAGTTTGTTAAGTATTTTCTCTGAAAGACACGCAGTTGTTTCTGAATGACCACTGCACGCAGCTATCACTGGTCTAATGGGCGCTGCAGACATGTGATGATAGAATCCGCGACGTTTAGGTAGAATCTTGGAGAAATTTAAAATGTCAAGACCGCGTGATGGGATGGGTAATAGGAGGCGGGAATACGTCGTATCGGACGACGGATTCTTAACGCTACCTGACATAGTTTATTTGCTTTGTAACTCCTTTTGTTTGCAATTTGCTTTGTAAAATAAAACTCATCGTTAAAAAATCAAAACTGCGCGTACGCATAGCTTGGAAGAACGACAATAAGCTAAAAAAAAAAATGTCTGGTGAAATTTTCCATCTCGAGGCCTCTAAGTGCCCGGATAGCAATTGATGTCATGTATACAAATTTGGAAATGAGAGGGACATAGTCAATGTCGTTGAGTCCATATGTCCGTCCCGGTGGCTCAGTTGGTTAGAGCGCCTGCCTTCCGATCCACCCACCCGTGGCTGGGTGAGTTCGAGTCGCTTTAGGGCGCTCGCTATTTGCCCTTGACAGGTATGGCCTGCGGCCGGTGGCAGCGGTCGCGCTAAAGGTCAGTTGACGTCAGAGGGCAGGACGGACCGCGCCGAGCATTGCGGCACGTTAAGCTTTCGCCACTAAATTCTGCCGTTCCTGGGATTGCGTGATCGGATGGTGGGGCTCAGAGCTTACACAACAAGCACTGCTTAGCGTGAGCTCTGATCCCAGAAATCCATCCATTCAAAGGGTTAGGATCAAATTTATAAAAATAAAATAATAAAAAAAATTCGCCACATTCGTTTCACATATACTGAACACCTGTGAGACGCTAAAAACCTAACAGGAAATGCCCCTTTTTGTTGCTATTTTTTGGCAAAGCACTTTCAGGCTGAAATCGAGAGAGGCATGTACCCTATGCCCCTTTTAGAGCTCAAAGTCACCTACAGAGCACAGGACCACCCAGACAGGAAAATATGTGAATCTGACCTTCTGAAAAGTCGATGGCCAAACCTTAACGTACAGGGCTCATCATGACCGATTATGCGACCGTGATAAGTGACATGATGTGTGATGTGTGTTAGCTTAAAATCGTTGACAGGTGTAAATGATGCCTGATGCGTCATGTGCGATGCCTGTTAATTTAAATCGCTTGCATGTACAACTGATGCGCGATGCGTGATGCGTGTTTACTTCAACTCGCTTGCATGTTTCAATGAAGCGTGATGTGTGGTGCCTGTTTTCTTGAATTCGTTTGCATGCATACGTGTTTTCGTGCATTCTGATTCTTAAGTACGCACTGTGTCGTGGTAATGGCTAACAATCGCCCTTTGCTGATACCCTGAATGGTGGTGTCCTGTAAAAACTGTGACTTGCTGTTTCCAAAAAAACTGAAAAATTTAGTAAGATCATCGGTAAGCAACTTTCAATTTGCTTCTGCTATTGTTTCGATAAAGGCATGTTGCCGAAATATCAACCCATGTCTATCTCCATTCAGCTGGTTTTTCGCCGAGGAATAAGGCTCTTACTACTGTCTTATCGATATGCTATGGCTTTAATTTCCCCCATGGCGTGCACTCTAGTGGCTCTCTTCGAAGCATACTTGAGCTTTGTTGAACGAAGTAGTATCTGGTTTATAGTGAGAATGACGCACCGGTTCAGGCTTCAGCCATTGTGCTTCTCGGAAGCCGGCCCATGCAGGCCGCTGTGCCAATCACAAACTTTCGCTGTAGTGACGCCGTTCCCAACGTCATTTATGAAGGGATTCGATGGAACCAAACTGTTGTGCGTATACTGTGCTTGTGACTACATAATTTGAACGTAAGAACTATCTTGGGAATGCTAACCGGACTGATCGAAACGTTAAAACTTTGTTAACTTCCTGTATCGATACTACGAAAACGATCAACGCACCATACAAAGCCTTACATAAACGGCCAAGAAGGTCATAAACGCAACCGAAATGACCAGAATATGTGGATTTTTAGGGAGAGGGCCCTTGACGCCATCGTATCTGGCATAATATTTATTAGGAGCCGATCGACGCCCGTTATATCTGGACATCGTGCTCACCAACGCCAGATGTGAACGAACCGCGCAAAGATATTTCATCGTTGCACAGACAATGAAATGGGAGGATTTGAATGACGTCATTGCAGCGCCATGGATGACTGGCTGACAATGAAATAATCTGCACCAAAAATTCCACACATCTACGGGGGGAGGGTTGTAGCTCGGAAACTGGAGGGGATTGGGTCTTTACAAGGACAGGGCTGTACCCAATGATCTTCAAGATGGCTATCTCAGCTCAAAACCGCATACAAATGTGAAACACGCTCTTTAAGCAAGGCCACCACCGTTCACACACACACAAGTGCGGGATACAGAGTTGTGTTGGGTAAAACACCCGTCTAAAAGATGGGACCGGTCTTCGCATCGTGTTTGGATGGAATGGTGCATGGATGGTCCTCTGGCGATTGAGGTCCTCGCGGCTGCTGCCTGCTCACCGTCCAGGCAGGGCAGGTTAGGCAGTACAGGGCAGAGCGGGGCAGGGTAGACAGACAAGGCAGAGCAGGGCACAGCAGTGCAGGCAAAGACGGGGGAGCTCGGCGAGTACAAACCGCGCGACGGTTATGACGGCGTTGCCACTGGTTGACCCACCAGCGGCAAATATCATGTTTGGAACACCACACCTCCCAAGTTCGCAATCTGAATGCTGACCTGAGGGACACTTGAGAGACACTCAGAGACAATGAGGGGCACTCAACATAAGAACTTTCAACAAAAAGATGCCGAAAAACCAGGTGCTGAAGGCGTTTTGTACAAAAAATGTTCATCTTTTCTGAATGAAGACATCGCTGTCCTAGGCTAGTGCCCAGATTGAGCATGCCAAGTGCTCGCGGTGTGACGTCCAACCGCTCAGCTTTGGTATTGCCAGAAGGCACTTAATGCTTCAATCTGGACGTGACCCAGCGTGCCTCTTTAGACGAGACGATAGTACGGCACGGGTAGTAGCCGTGAGGTAAATGGGCCGGGTAATCACTGGCCATCGCTGTACGTCACGACAACCTTGACCTCCTCCGAATGTGTGCGCACTCTCGCCTGTGCCGAAGTCTGTGCCGAAGTCTCGTCTGTGCCGAATGTGCTCACACTCTCGCTCTCGCCTGTGTCTCGTCCCATTGCCGCATGAGGTGACACTTTGTACACTTCCGGAGGGCCTGAGCCCTCAATGCTGACTTGAGCCCTCGCAATGCTCTTCTGCATTCCTCTCCCAAATGCCTATGAGCACAAAAAGGAATACTGGGTCCATGAAATGCAGCAAGTGTGCTAACTGCTGGCACACTGCGCATGCCATTATTATTACCTATCAGCATTCTTCAAATTGGTCTCAACTGAGATGCCATTTCTCAGCATCAAAAAAGTTTTGGAACCGACCACATAATTTTTGTATTAGGACTGTGGGCACAAATCCAAGTAAACGAAGCCTGTGAAGATATCTGGATTTAAGGCCGGTTAGGCCAACTTCGCTAGCTCAATCAACCCCCCCCCCCACCCCATCCCCACCCCCAGCCCCCACCCCAAACCGATTTTAAAGAGTGACACCCCTGATTGCTACTCCAGCTGACACTGGCTCTGCGGTTGGCTCTGAGTAAGCCGAGCCTCTGAGGGTCAGAGGGGCGTTCACACTTCCCCATCTTGACCTAAGCGTCGAGCCTTGGGTTCGGCAGGACCGTGCAGCAGACTTGGCCCGCCTGCCACCCCTCGTCCCTGACGACGGCGAGGATGCTCCCATATGAAAAACACACGTCGTTGCCAAGCTTGCGCGTGAAAAGCACACCCCGGTGCCCGGGCGACCCGGTTTGTTTCACGTGGCTCCCAGCGTGGTGCATCGCAGCAGGAGGGTGGTGCATCACAGCAGGAGGGTGGTGCATCACAGAGGAAGGGTGGTGCGTCACACCATCACGTCACAAATGGGCGTCCGTCGTCGGTAGTCACACCGAGACCCTCGCTCGGCGGCGGCGCTCACCGTAGCTGGAGCCGCTGTAGCCGGTTCCAGTCATGTCATAGCCGCCTGAGTCTCGCTCGATGTCCTGGGGAAGAGCTCGCACCGTCACCACCAGCAGAAGAGCCGCCGCAAAACGCTGCATGACGTCGGCGACAATAGGTCCGACACAGCACAGACCCGCACCAACTTCCAACTGCACAAAGCCGGCGGACAGCTCGCTTTATAGTCACCACCATTCCCTGCACGGACTGCGAGATGTCAAAGACACCACAGGACGGCAGCGCGCGCGAAAATGGACATTGTCGGTGGCCTAGATCGGGTGATCGAACGCGGCCTAGCCACGACGTTCCGGTCCCGGCGATGTCACCAGAAAAATGCATTAGAGGCGGGTTTGGCGCGCTGGTACAGACTCAGCGGCAAGCGCGGGTAAGCTGTCGCGGACGCGTCGCCCGGCGGCGAATGCGCGAATCTGACCGCTGTCGACAACGTGGCTTGAACGATCGGCCCGCGGTCGAGCAACGGGAACTGGACGCTGGGAGCACCACCATACAAATGTGTTAGAGGCGGTTTTTCCGCGCTGTTGGGGACTCAGAAGCCGGAATAAAGATGAAGAGGTGGAGCTTGACTACCACAACGGACCAGAGGCTCGGTGTTCGCCCCCAATGTCTCGAGTGGGAGCAGTGAGACCGACCCTAGCAAACATTGGAACGTTGGCAGCACTTGCAAGATATGGCGATGTCCTTGCTTCGGAGGACGAGGTCTGTTTCTAGGGCTTGGTGCAACCATTGAATGCGTTCACTACCTCAGATTTACGCTAGATGCTGAATAATTTTGCAGGAATTCTGTCCGAATTTGCAGGAGCTCGGGAAAAAATCAACGTTTGCGCTCTGTTCTCTCCTTACAATAAAATAATAATGTTGTGCCTACCTGGACCTGACGCAATGATATTTAACGATGTGATGTGATGTCATACCCAGTGATGAGTCCCAAAGGCACCTGGTTGAATGCACGTGTGTTTTTTGAACCATCTGCTTGATAACAGCATTCATCTCTAAAATGACTTCGTGCGTAATACTTTTGGAAGCAAGGCTGTCGACAGGGATAGTTGAATGTTAAAAGGAAACAAACTCAATAGAAATGGGCGTCGTCTTGCAGCCCGCACATGCAGCATGCATAATTATTCTTCTTAAGGACGCTGTTGCAGTGTGACCAATGTAGCAGCAGTCATAGTTATAGGTAATGCAGTTGGCATTGCGTGCTGCACTGGTAAATATCAGCTTCGAAGAATCTCATTATAACTTGGTCATGGCCAGGGTAGGCAACTGTGGATTCCTGCATTAAGAACTAGTTGGATGCCGTCTGCAGGCTGACATGCTGTTCAGTTTTTTGGTGATGATGTCCCGCAACAACTCCTCATTCTACGCCTGTTCTCAAATAAGAAAACAAAAAGAAAATAACCGAGAAGCCGCTTTTGAAACGTCAGACAGTTCAGACAAGACCGGTCAGAGAGGACAGGTCAGTCTGACGGATAGGTTAGTCCGACAGACAGGTCAGGAAGACAGGTCAGATAGCACCGGCCAGACAGTCAGACAGGTCAGACAGTCAGGCAGGTCAGACAGTCAGACAGGCCAGACGGGACAGGTCAGACAGGATAGGTCAAACAGGACAAGTCAGACAGGCAGGATAGGTCAGACAGACAAGACAGTTCGGGCAGATAGGTCAGACAGCACAGGTCAGATAGATAGGTTTGATAGACAGGTCGGATGGGACAGGTCAGACAGACAGACAGGTCCACAAACGCTCTTGTGTGTCGTAAAATAATATCCCATGTGCTCAATCTTACTTTGATGCGCCCACGTCTCTCAGCTGCAGCCTGATTGGCGTATATATGTGCCGAGTTTTCTGTAAGGTAGCTATCAAGAGCTGCTGTTCATATTATCACAGTTCAATTGTATACCATTCTGATGAGTCAAAGTTTATGAACAGCTGCGACCGCAATCCAGATAAGACAGACCGCTTAAAAAAGCGGTGAATCCATCTGCCTGGTCAATGCGAAATGTACCCACAGCTCCGAACATGACGAAAGTGCCAGCTCGAGGGTGGCATCCAATGGTAAAGGCACGGCGAGGTGTCATCGATTGGGAACTGTCCTATCGCCCTAGGATCTGTTGGCTTTGACACCAATTGCTTGCGATGACGACGAATGATCTGAGGGGGTTGGAGGCAAACGCGATTTGTCTCCCGGTTCTTTCCACGCGATGCCATAATCTTGGTCTAGATTAGGTGGACTCGGCCTGCAACTGACTATTTTTACTGTAATCTATCAACACTTGTTACTGCGGTTTTTCTTTGCCGCCTACTGCCGCCTCAGGCATTTCTGGTTGCATCAATAGAGAGAGAGAGAGAGAGAGAGAGAGAGAGAGAGAGAGAGAGAGAGAGAGAGAGAGAGAGAGAGAGAGAGAGAGAGAGGGAGGGAGAGAGAGAGAGAGAGAGAGAGAGAGAGAGAGAGAGAGAGAGAGAGAGAGAGAGAGAGAGAGAGGGCGACACTCCCGATTACGACATGGACGCCCGGGTGGACGTAATAAATGCTCACTTTCTTAACACTGATCCCCGCATTGCCGCGGAGACGGCGGCGATGGCGTACTCCTCTATGCAGTATAAAAAGTCCCCCCTCTACTGCTCGGTCACTTCACCCCTAAGCGACGGGATGGCCCAGGACTCTGTCATCGGCCCTGCTTCTCATCTTCACCAACGACCTATAAAGCTTCTTTCCCCTCTTCCTCCCGCCTACTATCCTACGTCGATCACTTTGACTCTGCCATTCCGGTCATGTTGGCATGTCCAACCTGAAAGCCTCGCCGAAGAGTTCATCCAGTGTCTTCAAAACTGGTTCCAGTCAAACAGCCTTACAATGAACCCTAAAAAGATGACTGACCGGCACTGGTCAGGTGCTGACCATCACCGTCCATAACAGAAATACGTTTTGTTTGTGCTGTGCGTGCTCCAGAAAATGTGTTTTGAGTTCCTTCTTACACGTCCAGGGGCGGATCCAGGATTTCGTCAAAGGGGGGGGGGGAGCAACGCGACATTGTGGGCCCCCCTGAATTTTTACGTCTCTTTCCCAAAAAATATATTTGCGTTTCGTTCATTTCATTTGAAGAGAATTCGTGTGCAATGCACACACACACACACACACACACACACACACACACACACACACACACACACACACACACACACACACATATATATATATATATATATATATATATATATATATATATATATATATATATATATAGATGTGTGTGTGTGTGTGTGTGTGTGTGTGTGTGTGTGTGTGTGTGTGTGTGTGTGTGTGTGTGTGTGTGTGTGTGTGTGTGTGTGTGTGTGTGTGTGTGTGTGTGTGTGTGTTTCTTCATTTCTTTATTAGATACGGAAATCTGTCTTACCGTGCAAAGCTCTATAAAGCACAGGCGTGCTGCGCATGCATACACATAGAGCTCACCCATTTTCTACAGATTATTTTAAATGCTGTGATTTTGAAGCTGAGTGTTTCGGAACAGGCAAAATGAGCTTGAGTTGGCTGCTAACAACCACCAAAACCAAGCAGACTTGATTCATAGCTTATGTATTTACGGCTGGCCGGCTGGATGACGTAATCAACTAACGGGTGATGACTAATGCAGAACTTTTCCTTTGTTTTTGAGGATTATATGATATCAAAGCATTAAAACTTTTTGAAGAGCATGAAATAAGTGTCACATATTCAATAGCCAAGGGAAATGACACACACGGTGTCGGCGGCATGTAAAATTATGTTCGGCAATTGTGCGTAAAAATTCATCGGCCCACATTCCACTGATGCTCTAAGGCACAGGCACCAAGGCTAATAGGGACGGAACCTGAGCGATTATGGGTGCCACAGAAGGCCAACAAAGTGGCTCTCGTCAACAAGTGTAAAGCATTCGGAGCAAGCAAAAAGAACGCAAGACCAACGTGGCGGGCCCCTGAACGATCGATAGTACCCCGGCAGGCTGACGTATAACGCCCCGGCCATGACACGGGATCCTCTAAACAAATGGGAATTATTAAAGACCATGAATTAATACCCCCGTGCGATCAAAAGTGCAAGGGCGGGTTAACAACACAAGTCTCGATAGGAATGAAGAGTCCTCCGCAAATGAGACCAAAGAAAGAGAGCCCTTGATCAAAGCAGAGGGCCCCGGAGCGTCGAGTGCCTCCGTGCCTTACTTACAAGAGCCCTAGCAACAGCACAAGGCCCTGCAACCAAGTGGAAAGAACCCGAGACTAATAAGAGGGGTCCCTGAGCAACTGCGTTTCCCTGACATATGTGACCCAGGAAAAGGTGTATAGAGCCTTTTGGGGGAATGGGGAGAGTCTGTGGAGGAAAACCTAATCGATCAACAATGCTTAGGCATGGAGGCAGATAGCGTCCCAACAGCACATTAAGCCCTACGAGAAAATGCAAAGAGACCAAGGATAACATGGAAAGCTCCTTAGCGATCAGATTGACCTGGCAAGTGGACGTATTGGGCCAGGCAACCAACAGCGTAATGCCTCTAGGCAGCGTAATGAGCCCCCAAATTTCCTCCACTCAATATCTGCTCAATCAAGGAAGAATGAGCTTCGTTTACTTATGAACTCTTTGCTTTTGCTAACAATGGTTATTGATCGTCTGTAGGTCCAAAGGCCTACAGCCAATGTAGCCAATTTTTTGTTTTTTTTTTTGTCAGAAAACTGCGTCCTCCCGGTCGGTTATGAGCTCCTTTGGAGCCTTCAGGTACCCTCGGCATGGCCCATGGGGGATAGTCCCGTGCCTCCCCATATCCTCTACAGTTGTCACCGGCCCAAACGGCTGAATAGATGGGGCCCGCTAAGAAGATTAGGTCATACATTCAAGTAAGAAATGCTCACGACGCAATGTGTAGGGCTCTGAACGATGGAGTGCGCCCGAACAGGTTAACATATAGGGCCCCCGTCAAGAGCGTGGGGCCCTCCATTGAAATAGGAAGTACCTAAGGCCCAATGAAGAGGGCCCCCATTGATGAGGGCCCCGGGTGTGAACGGGCAGGTTAACAAATAGGACTCCCAACAAGAGCGTGGCACCCTCCATTCGAATGGGAG